GAAAATGTGCCCTCTTGTTAGAATATTTTTTACAATATGTATCTAATTTGGACTAATGAATTTTACTTAACCTTGAAACCAACAAGTTACTGTTTATAATGAGCCATGTGCTCTTGTGACCTGTGTACACTGACTACACTCTGCCTTCCACCCAAGACAGCAAGTGAATGTGGGTGTACTTTATTAACATAAAAAAGTGCTGAAAGTGGTGCTGGTCTCATGGAAACAATGAGAACTGAGAAGGCTTTCTGTGACTGTGTGTGTGATATTTTAGGCCTAGGGATCAAAGGACATAATTGTCTGATGAGATGGCAGTGGATCCTAGTTTCAACTCCCCAATTCATGCCAGAGATACTGTTTGAATAAAAGAATGAGTGAAGCCTGACTCAGGAGCACAGTTCCATGAGGCATCTAAAGGAATGGGTGCTCAGTTTCTGCTCCTGACCTTAAAAAGTTGAAGCCTCCAAGAGACTAAGAACCTTGCCCAAGAGATCACAGGTGTAGGTTTGAAGCAGTTTTTTCCTGGTTCCAAACCCTACGTGATTTCTTTTCCTGTACATAATATTAGAGGGTCCTACTGAAATAAATCATACTTAACTTTAAGATAATTGTTCCACCATATTTACTTCACTTTGTGAGTGTGTGTGTGTGTGTGTGTGTGTGTATGCACATGCGCACATGCATGCATATATATACACATATGTATGGAGGCCAGAAGTTGATGCTGAGTGTCTTCTTTAATAACTTGCATAATATATTTTGGGACGGGCTCTCTCATTATACCTGGAACTCACCAATTCAGCTAGACTGTTTGGTCAATAAGACCCTGGAACCCACCTATCTCCACCTCCCCAGTGCTGGGGTTACAGGGAGGTGTTGCTGCATCTGACCTTTTGTATGGTTGACAGAGGTCAAACTCAAGTATTCAAGCTTTGCATAGCAAGCCCTTTACCAACTGAACCATCTCCCTAGCCACTTAGTTCACTTCTGATATTCTCTCTGACTTGATGATTCTTGTGGGTTGTGTTACAATAGGAATGTTTCTGATTGACAATGTGAATGAGCAAACTTACTTAAAGAGCAAACATGAGAAATACTCTGCTACTTATTTTGATGGGACAAATCTAGTAATTTACGCATAGTAGTTTAACAAGTTTTTACATCCAAATTATTCAATAGTTAACTTCTTTTTCTGTACCACTTTAAATAAGATGATACTAGGTTACTAAACAGCACTCCCCCAAATTCTATTATTAGAATCCAGTAGTAGGTGGAAACTTTTTTTTTCTGCCTTGTAGACTGGTGCTAAAGCTCCAAAAATGCACAGAGCTATGACAGATGCAAAGAGCACAATGAGTTTGCTATTTTAAACCACACTTGAGAGAAGGAAGTATGTTGTTATGTTTAGTAGCTGTATTACCCCTCAAGTACAAAAGGCAAAGCAATTACTTTAGTATCAATAGAATTCAAATATCTTTTAACTCCATATATCAAGGAGAAAACCTTGTGTTTTTTTCCCTTCAGTCAAAGGATAATCTGAGGCATCTGAGATCTTCTCATTTTTCTTTGACTTGAGTTCTTCCTGTTATAATTTGACCACGATATTATGCACCAATGCAAACAGATATAAAGAAGTATCCATTAATCGATCAATATCAACACACCCATATATACAGCACATAACCTTGAGGGCTTAAAATATAACAAGCCAGCTGTGGTGCTGAACCCTTGTAATCCCAGGCTGAGGGACAAGGATTGATTTTGAGGGCCAGTCTGGACTACGTAGTGAGTCAGTCTCTCTGTCTCTGTCTCAGTCTCTGTCTCTGTCTCTTTCTCACCTCAATTTTAAAATTACCACTCTTAAGTTTCCCCTTCCATGCAGGATGGAGAAGTAGCTTGAATGGCATGTGAAACCAGTAAATCTAGGTAAAAATGTTGAAAATAAACAAAGGGATCAGAGAGCTAGTTAACCTTTGATATTGCAACATACGATTGTTATCTACAAAGTTCAGGTTTGAAGTCCACTTAATCGAGTTACCAAAAAAATAAAAACATCACAAAAAAATTTCACAATCCTTTAAGTAAGTTTTTTCTTTATGTTGGACTGTATTCGTAGGTACCCTTAGCCACATGCAGCCCATAGGCTGCAGGTGGGCACACATGGTAGAAGCTTTAAAATTCTGTGTAGAAAGTATCCTAGTGAAGTGATAGAACAATCTTCATTGACTTGGGATCTAAGAAATTTGAGTCCACACTGGACTTGGGAAGGAGGCCCAGTTGGAGGTTAGGGAAAGCAGCAGAGAGCTGAGAAATTCTGAGACTGTAGTCAATATAAACAGGCAACTTCAAGCCTCAGCCAAGTTTTCCCTTGACATTTGTCAAATTCTGAAGTAGCAAGGTCTATAGGCAAAACCAAACAGAAAAAGCAAAACAAAATGGTAACGTAAAACTCCTGAAAAAAAAAATCCTAGTTATTTTGCAGTCTTACAGTTCTGCGAAGAAAAATATTTGAAAATATTGGTGTTTAAAACTTGCCAAGGGAAAGGCCACACATGATGAGACAGACTAAAATTCACCTTAGGGCTCAACCTGACCCACCTTTAATTTTATGTGGCCTAAGACTGATCAGTTTATAGATCTTAAATAGTTAAGGAAAAAGTCAAATAATATTCTGTTGCATGAAAGGTTTACAGATAAAGATTTACTGGAACACCATCATCCTTTCTATATTGACTTGGGCTGCTTTTGCCAAATGAGTAGGTGCAAAGAGGTTGAATGACCTGTAAAGCCAAAACTGTTCCTCACCTGGGCCTTTTCAGACAAGGTCTGGCAAGCTGCACTAGCTGTTGGTTGAAAATCCTGGCAGACAAGTGCCTTGAGAGCAAGGACAAACCAGAAATAGGCTGTTTCTCACCAGAACTCAACCCAAACTCATGCTGACTGTGGTCCTCGGCATTCACTCTGTCTAGTGGAGGAGGGGATTTAGCTAGAGAAAGGCACTGTCATCTTGGAACATCTACAAATTTCAATACACATTTTACAACCATCCAGAATTCAGAAAATTGCTACACCAGTTTTTTTTTCTTTTTTTTCTTTCTTTCTTTTTTTTTTTTTGTGTGTGTATATGTGTGTGATGATTGTGATACGCAATTGGCTTAATTGGCAGGCTCCACAACAATCCATTAACATTCACCATTTTAGACAATTGATAGTAACTCATGTTATTTAAAGAAAAGAAAAGAAAAAAAATAAGCAAAACTATTACCCAAAAGCACTTTTTCTGGCATGAAAACTTAAATTATGTGTCCAAAATAGTAGCCTTCTAATTAAATAGATGCTCATTTCCACCAGTGCTTCAATAACATATGAAATAATGGCTATGAATTCTTCTGTAGAAAATGAAAACAGTCATTGACCAGCTCTACGTCATTCTGAACAACCAAGTGTTCTCTAGAATTCATTTGTCAATGACACGTGGTTTTTGGCCACTGGTATGGGGGGAGGGCATCTACCATCCAGAGAACCAGGATAAATGCAGATATGCAGAAAACCAACATTGAAATACTATAATTATACAATGTGTTGTACATACATCTCTCCTAAGACTCAAACTTTTGGTCTTAATAGTTTGTGCAAGCGAATGGAACAACTCAAAGGAACAAGACTGCTGAAGAGTTCAATATGTCACAAAACTGCAAACTTGCCAGATTCATTTTAATTAGACTATACTAAGGTTTTACATCCATGACATAAATCGCAACTCCCAGATATAACACATCAGGTCATTTTAATTTATAGCCTATGCCAGTTCGCAACACATGTCTTATTGGTGTCAATAGAATGTAACCTAGTTGTGCTCAAAAGTCAGGTCATATAATAATGCTACAAGCTTCCTCCATATACAGCTGTGCTCTGTTACAGAGGAGATAGAGACACAGCTAAAAGTAAAATTAAATGTAGATTTTATTAAAATTAGATATTTGTGCATTCATATATACATACAATTGAATCTTCTAAGTTTTCATTTAGAGTAGTTCTAGCCTGCAGAGCCCGTTTGTAATAGCAGTGCGCAATAGTATTTGAAAAAGCTAGAGTCACTGTCAAAAGGAAAGGGTTTTGAGAATTAGAGGTGTTTTAAACTTTCAACAAACTTTAAAAAATTTAAATATTCTCTATCAGTCTTGTCAGCTTTAAGAGTCCCTTGATGATAGATGCCTCTATACAGAGCTCTAATAGATTTGATCAGATAAACGCTACGGATGTGGTCAAATACAAAATCATTGAGTATACTATTTATTTTAAGCAAACAAGAAATACTCTTAACATTAAACTCAGTATTTTTAGAAATTACAAAAATATTCAGTAGCAGACTTAATTTATATAATTTACTAATTTTAAGACAAGGCTTGCATTCTAAATTGTTTAAAAAAATTCTTCTCATGTATGAAAACAGTCCATTTCTAAGGAAGTCTATATTTATACCAAGGCCTGGAAAATAGTAAGGATCACCTAAGACATTCATGCAGTAGTTATTTTGTTTAATTGTTTATAGAATAAGGTAAGTCTTTACAATACTGGTTCCTTAGTAACTGGCAGCATGCTGTTGCCTTTGCCATGACATCATTTGCATTATTTACAGTTCTGTGATGCTGCTTTTCTTTGCATCATACCTGACTACTGTCAAAGGATCAGAGAGTCCTGAGAGAGACATATTGCAAACAAAAAGTCCTTAGTACGTGGTGGAAAGTCAGGTCAGGAGTCAAAACGAACCAGCAGAAATGACAGAGATGTGATTTCAGCACCATCTCCTCAGGGAGGAGAAGCAAACACATGGCCCTGCTGAAACGCCGACTTCACTGTCTGCTATCCGAGCACTAAATACTACATTTAGAAAATGGTTTCAACCAGATCATCGCCTTTTCACACAAGTCCCTCTTTTAAGAAATGCAAACATTTTCCAAGTGCACTGCTGAAAAACCATAAAAAACTTAACAACCTACCATTTTCTTTGCACTCTTCTGGAGGTTTAGCCTTTTTCGCGAGTCGTGGATCCAGCCATGATGTTGTCTTTGTGTTATGGCTGAAAAGAAAAGAGATCACTCTGAACAGACACATACTGAAAGGAATCAAGTTTATTCCTTAAGAAAAAAAATAAGCGGGGTTAGTCTAACAAAATTGCAATCGATACACTTAATTTGCTTACTGGTTCTAAGTAGCCCTGAAGGAGGTGTAAGAGTAATTGTGCAAGGCAGCTGTAAATTTGGCAACCTCAGCTCCCTGTCCTCAAAGCAGCTATTTTTATTAAAATCAACTAGAATGTTGCCAAGTTAACCTCATTGAAAATTCAGAACTCATCCAGAGCAAAAGGAATTTATTACAAATACAGGATTCTCCAGTTGGGAGAGCACAGGCCCACACTATGATACTGCTTCCTGAGTTTTGCAGAATAAGTATTTTCATCTTAAACCTTCCCTTTTCATAAACAATTGTTTTGCTAACTGCAGAGCTAGCAGAGGCAGTATAAAAGTGATGCAAATTACAGCATGTTCCTGTGATTCCTACATTTCCTCCAAAAGTGATTAATAGCAATTTCATTAACTCACATTAGGCTATCTTGCTCCTAAATACGTTCATTCCAGCCAAGAAAGGAGATGATAAAAATGTCTGCATTCTAATGTTTCTCAAATAGAATTTCTAGGAATTCATGAAAAAATTATTGTTTAGAAAAATTTAAAAAAAGTTTCCTTATTTTTATGCCAGAAATCTAACAAGCAAAAAAGGCCTTCTCAGAGGAGAATTTCTTAAAATGATTTTGTCATCACCTGTGTTGGAATAACCTGGTGGATTTGTTAGTGATGCATTGAGTCCTCACAAAACTACCAGGTCAGGGGCATCTCAGGGGAGGGGGATGCTGTGTGAGGTTGCTACCAGTTCCTGTCATTGAGAAGCAATCCAGGATATTCCTATGCATCTTATAAGTCAGAAACCATTCAATGGCTGAACTGTTCATTGAATATTTACCTAGAATGTTTACTGTCTACAGCTGGATGAAGAGATCTCAGGGACAAATGGACAAATTACCAAAAATGCATATTTGTGAAGCCTTCAGGAAAAGGGTGTGTCAAGTAACAGGTACCAGGAGGTGTGAGGTTTACACAAGCAGCAGTCAGAGGACAATGAATGAAAGATGAAAGGGAAGAATAGAAAATAGGTTAAGTAGAAATTAGATCCGGATCATAAAGGTACTTGAACATAGTTGTAAGGAGGTCAAGATGTTAAGGATAAGATGCATTTCATAAGTTTTCTCTCTTCAATTCTAGCAGAGCCACAAATATTAGCCAGACAGTGGGAGAAACAATTTGTTCTTGAAGTAAAGATCAGAGAATTTTCCTAGAGAGTACAATTAATAACAGACTTGTGCAGCTGTTTCCTATTTCAAGAAGGGGATCTCAAGGCAGAAAACAGGGAAGATAGAGCTAAGACAGATGATGGAAATCTATACCAAGGTGTCAAACACTCTTCAAGCAGGATTTTCTAGAAGATAATCCCATCTCTGCCTATGAGTAGGACATTGCTGGGCTGAAAACAGACATTAAGATTCATGAGTTATGGAATCCCTGATCCCGAGGAAAATTCCCTTTTCCTTCTGTCTTTCATGTGGGACAGGGAGAAAACCCTCCTTATCACTTTCCTCAACTATATGAGCTCCCCAGTAACAGATACTTTGGAAAAGATCTCTAATAATTTAATCATATAAAGTCTACAAATTTGAATAAAAAATAAATCATCAGGAAATTATGCCAGCTTCTATCTTCCCCTGATTCGACCTTTTAAAGTCTGGTGGTGCTTCATTTTCAATTTCAGGAGGACACAGTCATCTGCTCCTAACCCTCATTTTTATGGTGTCAATATAATCTAGTCTCTTCTTTGAACTGAGAGTTTGATGTTCATGGATGGAGGTTTTGACTATTCTGAATGTGAGATTGTGACACTGGCTTCAATGTCTGACACTCTTATTCTATAAAAAGAGACAGCCACTTTAAAATGCTTTCTGTACAAATGCCAAAGTACAAAGTCAACACCTGCTTGTGTGTGCATGTCCGTGTCTGTGTGTGCACGCATGTGTGCACGCAATTGTGTTGATCTTCATGTTTCTACTGGGCAAGGGAAAGCGTTGGGAGGTAAGCAAGGAAAAAAAATACACTTTTTTTTGGCTCATAACTTTCTTTTAAATCCTTTCTCCATTTTGGGGAGAAATTGTTTCTAGGTCCTTTAGACATATTCATAAATGCAAACACATCCATGGATAAACACCAAGAAGCCATTTAGTGTGCCACCACAGGGTGTCAAATTGCCATTTCTATACCACACCAGCATAGGTGTCCAATGCTGGCTAGTTTAGTAGAGAGCTGTGTGAATTCTAGCTTTCCTGAGTTTATATAAAGCATTTCATTACAGAAGGCATTTTTAGGTTGAACTAGTGTTAGCAGTGTGTCACTTTAATACATTTTGACAGATTGAATCTCTCATAGTTAACAGCATTTTTAGATGTTCTACAGAAATGATTCTGAAAGAAATGTGGGGAGTAGTTACCTCCAGTAATTGTCTTAAGCATCACATGAAGACATAGCACAGTATTTTTCAATAGTGGCTCTCTGCAGCCTTGTAATTTGCATGCCCCTCCAAGGTGCGTTACAATGGGATATTTTTAATGCATTTGGGAGACAACACACCAAATAACTTTTCTACTTTCCTTAGTTTATGTATTTTAAATCTTAGTAACTTCATTTGAGATTAGGATTAAATGCTGGACAGGAAACCATGCTCAAAATGGAATCACTGAGAGATTTTTCACAATATGTATGTGTCTTTTCTCAAATTCAAGGAAGATATTTATTTTCATTTTCTTAGCTAGGGCACACTTAGATGCTCAGCATCACTTTTCTGTGCCTATCCAAGATGCGGCACCAAAAATGACAGGAAAAGGGAATACCGGTGCTTTATCATCTCATGTTCCATTTTAAGTCTCTTTAACTGACAGAGACATCTGTAGGTGCCATTTGCACAGAAATTGTTCTTATTCTAGTTGGGGAATGCATTTTTAGGGATCTTTGAATCATAATAATGTCTCGATTTACATTTTTCTATAGCTGAAACTAATATGATGATCATGAAAACAATCAAGATCTATTCAATTTCAATCAGTGTCAAATTTAAGACTCCTGATGAAAATCGAAAACAAATGATTTGTCCTGTGTACCTATCCCAAACCCTTTTCTAATGTTAAACTATATACTGAGTCCCTGTGGTGGTCTAGAATAAACCAGAACTGAAATTTCATTCAAATATGAAATTCTAGTTTAAATTCCTATCAGGATGTCCTGGAAGATACACAGAGACTGATCAAGAATGGATCAAGAATGTCTCTACATTTTGCAAGCTTAACCTTTGCCAAACTGACAAAAGCAGCAGGTTAAATCATAGCATCTTATCTTCTGAGAAAACATTTCTTTCACATAAAGCATGCCTCATTTCAACAGGAAAAGCTATTGCTGGTACAGCAAGCAGGTCATTGCATCAGGGTCACCATCTCACACCTCCAGACTGTCTACTCCCACCCCATTTAATACTAAGGACCTTGTGGTTAAGAATCATTAAGTCCATTTTTTTATATGAAGAAGAAAGGTTGAGAGCATCAGGGTAACTTGTCCAAGGTTACATAACTAGTACATGAAAGGGAAAGGGCTGGTATAAATCCAGATCTTACCCAATCCCAGGCCCATGGATTTTATGGTCTGAAAGTAGAGGCATGTTAGCTCTAACCTTGCTTTTCACGGACAGGTACACCATCTCCCTCCCTCAGGTGGTCTAGTCCAGTCTCCTGCTAGTTATTTAGGAGCGAGTCTTCGCTTACTCTTTGAGGGTAGTATTCACTACCTTCCCTTGAAAGTGCTGAGTGTCATGTACTTGGAAGGTATTTTGTTAATTGTATAGTTTGTATATGAATATTACAACTTGTGAGAAACAGTAAAGATTACAGTAAAATAATGGTTGGGTATATAGCTCAGGTTCAACACTGTCAAAAAATTAAGTTAATGAAAAACTGTTTAAAATAGTTTATATTTCTCTACAATAATTTCCCAAAGTATTTTATCTTCTAAGTCAGAAGTGAAAGGTTTTAAATTTGATGGAAATTGTCAATGTTGATTTACCAATCGAGACATAGAACAGGCAACACAAGAACTATAGACTTACTTTGTGTGCCTATAACATGTGTATGTGTGTCCTAACAGTTTAAAAGCAATTAATAGCTGCCAGAGATTTGGAGATCACGTGCAGTCATGACATTTTTTCACAAATGTGTTTTCCAGTCTCCAAAGGCTGCATTTAAAAATGCATTATTGAAGATGTCAAAATGTCCTCTGCCATTCAGGAAGATGGTGGTAAACAAATAGGTTCTTGTTGCCTCTTTGTTTTTTGCCAAAGCAATAGGAGTCTCTTTTGTGCCACTAACTAAACTGACACCCAAAACAAAGAAGCAATTTAATGGGATTCCCAAAGCATGTCAATCCAGATTAACCCTGTGCAAGCACTTTTCTATGGAACACTTAGCCTCTGGAATAGGGAGTTTCTGGCCAAGAAATGTACTGAACAAATACCATTTGTAATATAGAAGTTTACTTTGGCCAGTGTTTGTTTGTAAATCAGGGGTGGTATGAATTAATGGGAATGGCTTTGTGGGATGACAGCTATGGGACCTTGGGATTACTATTGTGTCCAAGGATGCTTCAGAACCACATCTACAAAATGAGGACAAATCAAGCCTTTTACACTGTGGTCATGATATGATCTACAGGAAGCATGCACCCTTTTAAAGTGATTATGAGCAAGGTTCCTGGAGACAGACTATAATCTATGCAAGCATGAACCTTGTCAGTTTTGTTGACTACTGTGTTCCCATGGTTTAAAACTGTTCCTAGCACATAGCATGTGTCTAGTAAACATTTATTAAATAAATAGAATCAAAGAATACTGGCTCTGTCATTTCTTGGTTGCACAGCTTCTTGGCAAGTAGTTACT